ACACAATTGTCCCACCAGTTAATGAATTGCACCTAAAGAACAGTATATCCAATCAGTGGAATGTTATTGGTATTGAAATGAAGTCATGATACACTGTGCATGGAGCTTGAAACATACAAGGTGGGGGGGAAGCTGATCAGAAGACCACACACTGTGGCTCCCTTTGCATGGAATCCCTAAAATAGGCAGTTCTGTGAAGTCTGGCGGCAGATTAGTGGTTGCCTAGAACAGGGAGAGTGGGGAAGGAAGACCAACTGCTAATGCAATCAAGGTTCTGCTGAGAGTGACAGCAAGGCTCTGGAATTAGATGGTGATGTGGGACTTGTGGGTTCGCTCCACTGAATTGCACAAAGGGGTGAAGTTTGTTGTGTGTCAGTTATATCGTAACAGCCAACCCTCAAGCTTCTGGTGAACGTACTTCTGTTGGTAAAAAGTGAGCATCAGCGCTAGCCCAAGGACTTGGGCTTTTTAGCTAATGTTTTGAAAGCATTCTTTCAGATTGTTAGGAAAGCCCTTCACAGAACGTGATTGTTTTCCTGTTTTATTTCTCCTTGTGCAGGCTAATATGATGCTTTACTGATATCCTGACCTTGGGTATCTTTAGAGTCCTTCAATTAAAAACACATCCCCCCAGCTTTTAGAAGCAAGTACACCTGTCCTGTTATTTGTTTCCAAAAGAAGAAAGTGTTCTGGGTGGTGGACACTCACTTTCAGCTTGAGGCAGAGCTGCCTTAGGCAGGTGTCTGCCTTGTTCTGGGGGACAATGACAGTGCTCCAGGGAGGTGGGCTTGAAGTCGATTCTGCATGGTGCTTTTAAAGGGCATCGCTGGCTGAGCCGTGTGTAGCCTCATGGACATGGACATTGTCACTGTAAGCAGATCGAAAGGCTGCCTTTCATACTTGGCTGGATTGCAGCTAGTACAGCCCTGGCTCTTTGTTCCTTGCCCTAATTAACTGTGTGTATTCTGAAGTGATGTAGAATCCACTGGGAACAAAACGGGGAGGGTTGAGAAGCACTGGTGTAAAGGATGGACACGAAATCAGAGCCTCCAAAGCATTTCCACAATATAGAGCTGAAAATGTGACTGGCTTGCCACTTTGCGACACGGGGATGGTAACGTCTCATAGTTACCGGGAGGAGTGAAATGGAGCACAATTGGGTGGGGACCATTGTCTGGGACGTTCAGCATGGAGCATGGTCAGCTGAGGCTGTAAGAGTTCATCCTCTCCTGTTCACTCTCCCTGCACTTTCAGGAATGAAACCATGCAGACAGCTATGACGAATGATTGCTCTCAGCTGCTGGGACTCGCCAGTGGAACCGGGGGTCCTCCTTTTAAGGTGTTTTGTTTTTGTTTTTGTTTTTTGAGACAGGGTTTCTCTGTGTAGCTTTGGAGCCTGTCCTGGCACTCGCTCTATAGACCAGGGTGGCCTCGAACTCACAGAGACCCGCCTGCCTCTGCCTCTGGAGTGCTGGAATTAAAGGCATGAACCACCACCCAGCTTTCTTTTAGTTTTTATTCTCTTTCTGTTTCTCTTAATGAAGATAGGCAAGGAAAAAAGTATTCAAATCATGGCACCTTTTGATCACAACTCTTGGTCAGTCTTTAAGTTTGTTCTTGGGTTACTTACTAAGATTCTGTAAGTATAATTAATTTTGTGTTCTGCAGTGTCCCTCTTGGTACATCCTCTGAGTATTCCTGGATCTTCGGCTTCCCTTTGTCTTTCTCAGTTTTGTTCCTTGCAGGCAGCAGAACAGTTGTTGGGTAACGGGTCAGATGTATTAATAGGCAGGCCATATGGTTCACAGACATTTTGCTCTCAACAACTTGGTAGGAATTCTGGTGGCATGATTTTTGTTTTTAATTTTAACTAGAGAAGTGTAAGGACCATCTGCTATTATTTTTTTTGCATGTGACCCTGGTAGGTCATTAATTTTAGTATTCTGCTCCTGTGCAATTGCACTGCTGTACATAGAGGCTTCGTGACAACACTTCATTGTCAGTAGTGATGAGAGCAGAGTGTGCCACCCACATTCCTGTCATGAAGTTCCGTGGGTTTGCCTACCTGCTTGGGATTTGCAGCTTCTAGTCCATCTGGGTAAATGCCTGCATTACAACAGTCCATTTCATTGGTTAGAATAGTTCACATACCCACTGTCATGAAACAAACCAAATGACCAGGGAATAGTTATGTCAGTGTGGGGTGGGCTTGCTTTAGTTAGAATCGTGGAAGCCCTGAAGGATGAAGAGTATGGCATACAAAGAATGTGCTGACTGGTTTTTGTCAATTTGAAACATTAAATAAGAGTGACCTGAGCTGTGGGAACCTCAACTCAGAATATACTTCCATCAGATTCCATTGGCCTGTGGGCATATCTCTGGGAGCATTTTCTTGATGGATGATTGACGTGGGAGTTTCCAATCCACTGACGAGACGGGTCCTGGAACAAACTGCAGAGTTTCATCTTTTCTCAGTGTCAACCAGTAATACAATCTGGAAGGCGGTTGCTTTTTTGAGGTCATTTAAAAGTGTCATGTTTGTTAGTTGATAATTGGACATTGATACCGTTTTTTAAAAAGGGAGTGGTGAATTCTTGTTTTCTTCCTCTCTTAAAGGAAAATATACTGCATGACAGCAAGCATTTACATTTGACGGCAAGCTGGCCATGCTATCATTCTGTACACCATCATTCACTAGGACCTTTTTCCTGCTGTAATGAAGGCAGGATGTACTGGGGACAGCACAGTCTACTGTAGCTGGAGTTTCTTTTCCGCCAATTAGCCCCAAATAAGCACACAGACACATATTAATTATTAAACTGTTGGTTGATGACTCAGACTTCTGACTGGCTAGCTCTCTCTTGATTATTGATCCATTTCTACCAAACTATGTATTGCTCTGAGGCATGTTCCTCCTCCAGTAGCTACATGGCTTCTCTCCAGCATTCTCCTCATCTGGTAGCCCCACCTATACGTCCTGCGTGGCTACTGGCCAATCATTGTTTTATTCATCAACCAATAAGAGAAATATATATACAGAAGGACATCCCCCATTAGTCTGCACTGCTGGTTGTCTCTAAATTTGGAGAAATAGTAAAATTGTTTTAGGTTTCCAGAGGGTTCAGTGGACAACTTAGTCAAATTCTGTAGATGTTCGCTCCCATTGCTTTTCAATGCACAGGTTGGACCCCAGGGTCTCACACATGCTAGGCAAGGGCTCCTCTGCTCAGATACGCCCTCAGCCCTCTGTAAATGTTTACTTTTACTTGGTCCTCTCCTGAGATTGGTTAAATTTTTAAAAAGTTTTTTTTAACATTTTAAATTGTTCTTATGTGCATGCGTGTGTGGATATATGTACACAGGTACTGATGCCCAAGGATCCCAGGGAGCTGGGGTTTCAGGCAATTTAAGTGCCTGACATGGGTGCTGGGAACTGAACTTGGTTGCCTCTAAGAGCAATACAGACCCTCAACCAAGCTGAATCTCTCTAGCCCCTGATATTTGGTTGAGTTTGAAAATGGATAAAACTAATGAGAAAGTTAGCTGAGGATTTGGGTAAGGAATATTTCTTGGTTATCCCACCAAGCATCTTGTTTCTTAACTGAAGGGTACCAGTTGTGTATAAAACATAAGAAAATATTCCTTTTTATTTTTATCAGAATGACTGTAGTTCTGCCTCGTCCATGAAGCAAACCTCTTCCCTTTCCTCTTTTTATATTCTATGATTAAATTAGAAGTAGCTCGTTTACCTGGCTGCCTCAATTCTTTTTTCAGAGACTGAAACTCAAACATAAGACATTGAGCGCAGGATTTCACCTCCGGTTGCCCGGACCCATGGCGATGAATGAGTAGCCATTATGTCTTTCTGATGCCTTGTGCTCACTGGTGTGAGGGTTTTAGGATGTAACAGGCCTTGTTCTTTGAACTCTGAAGAGCAGTTGTCTCCTCAATGAGCCAGTCGCTCGTAGGAAGTATGATTTTTAGCCCTCCTCTCTGCTCTCCTGTCCTCTGTCCTCCTCTTTGTGGTTTGTGGGTCAGGCTGGGTGAGGAGAGTTTCTGTTTACCTGGGCACTGTTGGCAGAGGGAACTGCAGTTTGGACCAGTTTCCCTCCAGAGTTCAGTGTCGTACCTGATGCTAAGATACCCATTAGTCCATATCAACAGTGAAGGGCAGGCATCAGGGTCTACTTGGTGGTGTGGTAGAGCTGCTCTCCTCCCCCAGAAATGGAGGTTTCTTTCAGTTTTACATATGCGGCTAAGCAACCCTCCTCCCCTGAATTTCTTGTTTTATGGCATAGAAAGACTCCTTTGTTTTGGAGGCCTCAGTCCAGTTTAGACATTGCTTCTGCATGGCAAGGAAACGGAATTGTGTGGGACAAGAATAGCTGCCCTGTCTCTCTGCTGAGAATGGCTTCTTAAGTCTGATCACGTTGTCTCTTCGGTAACTAAAACACAGGCAGGTTTTATTTGGTTACATATTTGGTCAGCGGTACCCTACATGAACCGGCTCCTAATTTTCTTGCTAGCCCTTGCTTGTGACATCCTCTTGTTTCTTGAGTATACCAGACCCTTGGCGTTCCATTCATTCCATGTCTAGAATATTCTTCCACGCCATTTTCCTGCCAGGAATCTTTCTGAACCTTTCCCGAGCCCTTGAGTTGAGACATCTGTGGCCAAGCCTTCCTTGCCAGCTCTGTCATCTCTGTCACCTTATTCCATACCTGGGCGCTCTGTATTTTCCTGTGTCTACATTTTTGACTACCAGCTATCAGCGCCACTTGATGGAACAATTCACAAATGCAGGAAACCTTCAGGCCCTTGACATCCACACATGCAGCATGCATATGGCTCCTGCTGTAAAGGCTCTGCGGTAAGGGAAAGGGCTGCCTTGTGGAGTGGGCTGTGATTTAGTTGCCTGTGGCCTAACTACTAATATTAGTGCTTTTTAGACCTAAACCCCTAATGCGTTTTCTCCACCCCTTCCTTTCATGTGCTTTCAGCAAGGGAAGCCATACGTATTTGACAGAGTGCTGCCGCCCAACACAACCCAAGAGCAGGTCTACAATGCCTGTGCGAAGCAGATTGTCAAAGGTAAGTGCCACTTTATCTCCTCCTGGGCTTTCACTAATGAAAACGTGACATTTGCTGCCTGGCAATCAGTGGGCCTTGACTGTAAGCAGAGGCCTGTTAATTGGAAACACTAAATTGCTGCCTTGGCGCTGGCCTTGACTTGCTGAGATGTCCTTCCTGTTATTTGGCCTCTGTGTTTGTTTTCTTTGTTTCCTTTGCCACCCCTTAGGTGGGGTTATTCTGCTATCTAAAAGCCGGAAAGGCAAGGTAAGCTGTGGTAGCAGTGTTTCTGCCTTGGTCTAAAGAAACTTCAGCTAGAGTGCTCCTCTTCCTTTTGAAGGAGGAAATGCATTGCTCAGTGCTTTGGCTGTACATTGTTGGCTGCTTTTTTTTTACTAATGACTGTGAGAATGGAGTCTCTCAGGTGAGAGGTTGTTCTTGCCATCAAGAGATACTCTACAGGGCCACGAAGCCCCATTATTGAGGTGACTGTGGAGCTATTCGAGCCGTGCAGCGTTCCTTAATTTCAATTCCGTCTAACCCACCCTCACCCATCCTATCTCATCCCAACATTTGTCTCTCCAAACAGGTAGCCTCAAGCTTGCCTATGTCTCAGAGATGAGTTCTTTTTTGCTGGGGCTGGCCTTGGCCCTGGAGGATCTGTGTTAAAATAACAGCAGGGCGTTGAAGCAATTTGCACATTGCTCTCCCTTGCCCTTTCAAAGCACGGGCAGGTTGAAGCATGCTGAGGCAGGGCCTGCCATCTGGACAGGACTGAGGGGCATCTCCTGCTTCCTTGCTTTTCATCATCAAATCCTCACCTTCCGATTGGAATGCCGTGGCCGTTAACGTGCTCAAAGGTCTTGATAACCCACCCATGTAGGCAGCCATGGATATGAAAGACAGAAGCATTTTTCTGCTTTGTTTTCAGGAGCTGAGCTGACTAACCTATTTGAAATTCATGCAGTTCAGCCCTGGTACATCTGTTAGATTAATTCTGACCCCAGACACCTGCGTGGGAGACTCAACGTCAGTATGCAATGTTCCTTGCTGGGATGTGTGTTTCTTCACGTTCTTGTTACAGACATCAATTAATTTGGAAGGTTTTCTCAGTGAGCTCATTATAGAAGACTGACAAGGAAAAATATGCCTAGATTGGAGCTGTTTTGAATGAACAGTTTTGGCCCTACAGGCAGTGGTAGTTCTTGTGTTTTTCCTCCTTTGCCTCTCTTTGAGTGTTTTCTCTGTTTTTGAAGTGTGTCTTCCTTGGCTTGCTCCTACTCAGGCCCGCCTCTCCCCCTCCTCGCCCTGACTGAGCTGGTTCTTTTTTTATTATAGTAAGATTAATCACACGTGCCAGAATTTCCATCGTTTTCTCCCCCCATTTCATTATCAGAAGCAAATAGTGTTTACCACATGCTGTGCTAAGCATGAAGGCCGTTTAAATACATCCAGCTACCTCTGTGCCAACGTAATTAGAAATGGATGCACTCCATTAAAAAAAAAAACCCTGTGATTAACAAACAGTAGTAATTGTCTTTGGGTTTTTATTCAGTAGTGTATGTTCTCTTTTCAATGTTTAGATTTTTTCATAGTATGAGATGTCAGAAACAGTCAGTCTCATCTCCATTAATGTGTATACTTTTGTGATTTTTATGTATCAGCTAAAGCTAAATGAAAAAAAAGTCTTTGTGAAGACATGGGCTAACCCTAGGTAACTACCCACATAGATGGTGATCTACAAAAAAAAAAAAAAAAAAAAACCACTTAAAAGAACAGGGCTCAGCATACGATAAACACACAACTCCGGGGCACTATGTCTACAATGTGAATATGCTCATTTGGTAGCAATGAAGAATACCTTATTCTCCCTTGAAAAGAAATTGTTAGGGCGACAAAGGCCTGATTGGACATTTGTTAAACCTTTAAAAAATAGACTATCTTTTATTTATTCTTCTCATTCATATAACAATACATCTTGATTATTTGTACCCCTGACTCCTTGCCTGCACTCTCCCATGGAACCTTCAACTCCTCCATCGCAGTTTTCCAGAAACCCCTAACTCATCCCTTCCTCCCACCCAGCCCATGTACCTCCAACGTGTCTCTCTCACTACCTCTTGTCCTCCCCATCCCCTTTATGTTTTGGACACTGAGTCCAGTTAGTGATGCTTGTTGGAGTGTTGACTCATCTCCTAACTGCAGTGAGTTTCTGGGTGCCGTGGCCTTGTCGTGTTCTGAAGACAGCATTTCACTCGTCATTCCCAAACTCTTCCTGCCACTCCACGATGTTTTCTATGCCCTGAGGTTTGTGGGAGTCAGATATCCACTGGAGGCTGAGCACTTCCTTGCAGAGCCACTTATTCTCAGCACTTTGATCAGCTACAGGTCTCTACTTTAGCTATGACTACCGCAGAGAGAAGCCAAGGTTGAGAGCAGTATAATCGATGGTATAGGCGTAAATATTTATAAGGCAGTTTGACCGTATGACTGTTTAGCAAAGCAACAATAGTATGCTCCTCCTAAGGGCCTGTGATCTCCTGAGCTATGGGAATAGCCAGTTTTAAAGTATCAGGCCTAAATTCCTTCCTGCGAAGCATGCCTCAAGTCTAAGCCAAAACCAGTTGGTTGCCCTTATAACCTTCATGTCACTATTGCATCATGGGGTGAGTCTTGCCTGGCAGGTTGGTATTGTAGCATGGAGGAATACTATTGGTATCTTTTCTCTCCTAATGGCCTGCATAGCACCTTCTGGTACTATTAAGCTAGCCAGCAGGTAGGAAGCTCCCAGGACAGTTACAGCTGAATTCTCTATGTTGTTCAACCAGTGTGCTGGTGTTTTCAGCAATATGGTCTTATCATCTAGTTGTGTTGCATAACCAAGAACAATGGCAAAACTGTATTGTTCTGGGGGCCTCTGCGGCCTCCCTGATCAGTACATTGTAGTGAGAAATCCATGCTTAGTACTGAGATTTCATTTAATAACTTATATCCTCTAGGGGGATCATGGTCCACTCTTGTAGGGTATCTATCTATCTGTGTTCAAACTCTGTGTGTGTGTGTGTGTGTGTGTGTGCGCGCGCTCGCACACACGTGCATAGTTTTGTTTTTTAATGAATTTACAAAGTAGTGGGTTTCCATGGAGGATCTTTGTACATCCTTAGTTTTGTTTAGCTCACCCTGCCCAGCTTCTCTTTCTTCATTTCTTATCCCCATCCCTATTAAAAACCTTAAATCCCTGGATTCTCTCCCCTTTCGTATTATGTTTTCTGCTATCCACTCTCTTAAGAGCTCTTTATGTCTCCTTTCCATGGGCTCTTTCTATCTTCCTGGGCTCTACAGATACCTGACAGAACTTTTCAAAGTAACCTCGAAGGCTTCTGTGAGAGGAAGTGATTTTCCTCTCTGCAGCATCAAGGTAAAGCGTACATAAACAAGCAAGACCTTTTTGGAGTACGTAACATAGCATAGGTGGGTTATTTCCTGTCCTACCTAAGTTAGGACTGGGACAGGGTACCGTGGACACTTTCTCTAGAGACTGAGATATGAATCAAGTGATTCTGAAGACCATTGTAGTTCCGATTCATGATGCTGTCATGGACTGATACCCTCTACTTCCTAGTCTATCTAAACCCTTAATGACTCTGAGGGTCGATTTGCAATTTCAGAGCCCTGGCATTTCCCACATCAAAATGTTGGCTGACAGAGCATATGGATCTCTCCATTTCTATGGGAAGAGGTTGTAAGGTTTGTGATTATAATCACAGTTAATAAGGCTTCTGTGGATGCCTACTCATTAAACACCATGGTTACTGGATCTCATTGTTGATCCTGGTAACTGTATCCTAGCCAGCAGAAACTGCTCTGAGCATTTGCTTTCCAAACTAAATATGGATTATGCAAATGCTAGAGAAGGTGGTTTCTGATTTTCCAGTTTGTTTTCTTTAAACTATAATTATTTATTTATACAAGTAATATTAAGTGCTTACTGTGTGATAAGCACTGCCAGGGACTGGAGTCACTAAAACTTGTAAGACTGTCTGTGTGCTAGGAGCTCTCAGTATAGAGGAGGAGGCAAATGCATATACCATTATTATGCACTTTACAGGCATAAGATGGGTGTGTGCACAATGCTAGGACAGTATAGAGGAGTTCCTCTTTGTGCTGATTTTGATTGAGTGTGGGGAATTAAAGAAAGCTTGGGCCCTGAGGACTGTAGATTTTAGTGGAGCTGTGGTAGCAGAGGAGACTACAAGAGCATAAACGTATAAATGGTGTGGTGTGCTTGGGTAGTTCAGAGGGCGTGGCAAAGGTGTTGACTACATGATGGGAAATGATCCTCTGCTGGACATGCTGGATTTATCCCATAGGCAGTGGGGGCAGACAGAAAAGCTTTAAGCTCAGGAAGGTATACTCAAATCTATTTTGTTATTCCGTATGACTCCTAAAGAACTATGTTTAGCTCTGAATTATGCTATTTACATGTTGCATCTAGAAGCTTCAGTTTATGAAGTATGAACATTACTATTCCCACCATATTAAAGTGGAATTTGATGCTCAGGACTAATGCACTTTGGCCCAAGCTAGAGGAACCAGTGGGTCGGGGACTTGATTGACACTGTCTGTGCTCTGTTTTATCTTGCCTTTCCTTTCTGATGGGTCCACAATGAGCGTTTAAACACACACAGTCATCAAGTAATTATTTTATGAGTTGTTCTTTTTCAATCAGGCCATATGGACTAGTAACCAACAGTCTAAAATGACAGGGATAGCGGTTGGTGTGGAGGACAATAGAAAAGAAAGAGTAGCCACTGAGGTCCCACAGCCTTGTGCTGGCCAGTCATGGGGCGCATTTCCATTCTGAAGTGCGGTGGCTTTTGCTTGGGAGTGGTGTCCTTCAGATAGAGTGTCACCAGGATGCGGAAATAGCCATTCTACTCAGCAGAGACTAAAGCAAATGTTTTCTCAGACCCAGGAAACATCTGCCATTTACTGAGATGAAAGTGTTTTGTGACCACTGGTGTATGAAGCTTGGATGTTCACTCTCCAGCTATGGCCAGATTGAGTTGCTTGGTTGGCTGATAAGAATCTTAGGATCCCAAACCAAGTAGCCTTCAGCTGTTGTCAGAAACCGTTGTGCCCCTGAAACGCCACCATTCCACCTGGAGAGGTGTAGTAGGCGAGGCAGAGCCTCTTAGGGAACACTGATGTGTAGGTGTGATGACGTGTCCCAGGTTCCTTCTTAACAGAGGATGCACTTCTGCTCCAGCCACACCTCGACAGACGTGAGCAGAGCCTAGGATGCATCCTTGGGCTCCTGACACCTGGAGCTGGAGGTGGCCAGTGTTTCTGAGGAGCTGTCCTCTCTCCTCCTCTTTGGGAAATAAGATGGTGCTTGTCACCTGCGACAGAGGCTTCTGAGTTTGCCTGGCTGCTGGAGGGACACACACTCGTTTGTGAGGTGTGCGGCTCTGTGGTGTGAGTTGAGAACACATCATGCCAGACACCATCCCAAAGAAAGGTTCTGGAAGAGGGTTGCCAGGGTGTTTTAATAGCCATTCTGCTCGACAGAGACTAAAACAAATGTGTTTCTGAGGCCCGGGAACTGTCTGTAGATTAACCACGATGAAAAGTGTCTGTGTTTCTGTGGGCCTTTTGGTTGGAGCTTACAGCGTGGCCCTGAGGTGGCATGGGGTTCTGCACAGAGCCAGTGCTTGGAACTTCCCTCAGAAGATCTGGGCTGGCTTTTTCTTGCCTGTACCCTCCACTAAACATAAAACATAGGCTGAATAAACAAACATGTCCTCTAACACCTGAGAAAATAGACAACCCTAGGTTAACCTTATCTTTTAAATTTATCTTTTAGTTCATAATTGAGTCTATAGAGGGCCAGCTACATTCAATTTTGATCCCAGAGATGTTCTCCAAAAATGTATTAGCCTCTAAGTTGATTTTTGGTACATTAAAGACCAATCAGAGTTTGGTTTATGTGTTCTCTGTTAAAAAAAATAAGAAGGAAATTGTGCTCAGTGTTGACATAATGAAGAGAACAGATTTTCTTGAGTACAATCGAGTCCCACAGGCCTCTCAGCACCTTAGCGCCAAAGAAGCCAGCACCACTCAGGCATGTTCCTGGTTTTTTCTCACCTTTGTGACTGTCACATTTTTATTGAAGAAAGTCATGGGTCTTAATACAACTCTGTTACAATAAGAACCTCAATAGATTATTTTTTTAAAAAATATGTATCTCCCTGGTCCCAGGTTGTAAGAGTTAGATGACCCCTTTTTTCCCTTTTATTTATTCTTCTTTCATATAAAGCATCCAGACTGCAGCCTTTCCTCCCTCCATGCCTCTCAGCCACTCCACACGAGCATGCGCGCGCGCGCACACACACACACACACACACACACACACACACACACACACACACACACACACTTCCCTTTCCCCCCAGATCCACTCCTCCTCCATTTTCCTTCAGAAAAGAACAGACTTCCCAGGAATATCAATTGAACACAGCATAACAGGTTACAATAAGACTGGGTGCAGACCCTCGTATTAAGGCTGGACAAGGCAACCTAGCAGGAGGAAAAGGATCCCAAGAGCAGTACTCAGTCCATAACCATAGAACAGGGAATAGAGACTATCTAGTTGGTAAAACTATGTACTGTGTTGGCAAGAGTGGCTCAGAAGTCTCATGGAGATGCCAGCTTCCTTCTCTCTGGCAGAAGAGGTGTGAGCTGGATTTAGGCTCCGCAGTCAGTTTCCTTTAGGGTGAGACAGGTTGCTCAGAGTCACTGCATACAGTTACTGCAGAGAGCGGGATGTCACACATGAGAAGGATGGGAGCTTGGTCAGGAGCCCAGTGGGTGTGGGTCTTAGGCTAGAGTTGGGATCCCTACATATACAGGAGGGTAAAGTAAGAAGGCTCTTCCTTGAGCTTGAGGAGAGGTACTTAATTTCTAATAAATGAAGGTTTTCTGTAGTGACAGTGACAGCACTTGGTGTTCTAGTTGCCCGCAGTTGTTTGTGTTATGAGAATTGACTTTTAAAAGCACAGGTGAAGGGTGGAGCCTCTTTCTTTGGGTCCCTCAAAGCACATTTCTGTGGTGGTGTGGAGGCACACTGCCCTGGTGCCGTCTCCATCCCCGAGGGCTCTTTTCTCTGAGAGTTGACATTTTCATGGAAACTGAAGCTTAAACTTCTAACCCTAACACCGACTTCTTCTGTGTTTTCTTCCTGCTGTTACTAGGGAAACCACCCTCAAAAACCATTTCTAGAAGACTGATATATGTAAGCATTCCCACCCCCCAGCCTGATACAAACTCTTTTTTAAAAAAAAACTTGTTATTGATTCTTTGAGGATTTCGCCCCGTGCATCCCGATCCCACACATCTCCCCAACCCCTTGATTCGGCCCTCTGCCCTTGCAACCTTCTCCACAAAACAAAATTTCAAAGTAAGACCAAAAACAAACACCCCCAAAACAAAACAAACAAATAAAAAAATCTTGGCATAGAAGCTGTAGTGTTGCCCAGTGAGTCACTCACACAGTATACGCTTCAGTCCATACATCTTCACTTGCAAGTGTTTATTGCACTGAGTCTGGTTCAAGGCCTCTGACTTCTGCTACACCCTTGATACACCCTCCCTGAGACTCCTCTTGGATGTTCTATAACTGTTGCCTTGTGTCGTGGAGATCCTATAGCAGGTCCAGCCCCTCCACATGCTCCAGCAGTTCATAGTTGGGGCAGGCTACTTAGTGGTCCTGGCTCTGGGTCTGGGTAGTACCTGGGTTGGTCAGTTTGCCCAGCTGTCCCTCATTGTCACTACCCAAGTGAGTAGCACCACCTCAGTAAGCTAACCCAATGATGAAAACTCTTAAAGGCTGCTAGGATTTTTAAAAAAATCTTATTTATTTTTTGTTTCCTGTTTTTAACTCCCTGAAGGAAAATCCTTTCTTCTCTGATCTTAAGGTATATTCTAATAATCTCAGATTAGCAAAATATGTATGTTTAAAACATTAGCAAGCAAAACAAACAAACAAACAAACACAAAACAAAAACCCAGCATAATAAGATTCAGAGAGGAGACCTTCCCGATCTGAAAGAGTTGACTGGCTGGCACACTTTTCTCACATGGCCCTAAGCAGCATCCTCTGTATAGAGCACCTGCCCTTGCCCTCACCAGCGGCCACATTAAGAATTCCTCCCTTGGTGCAGAATGGTGGGTCAAGGATATTAATTATGCATTGCTTCCTTCTCTGTGACAGTTGTATAGATGAGGAGAAGGCGGGAGGGAATATGTTTTAATCACCTCTGCTGGTTGGAAAGAATTCCCACAGTTGATCTTCAGCTCTGCAACAGGAAGCAGCCCCCACCTGCACGCCCCCTCTCATCCCTGTGTGAAACGAAAGCCAGCCTGCCATGCTTGTGGGCTTTCCCAGCGTGCTTATTGTGTAATTAAGAGAAATCCCTGATGTTGATGGGCCCAGGCCGTCCTGCTAGCAATGCAGTGAAAAAACAAGACATTAAGTTGAAGTCAGGCCTGCTGGTTTCCAGGCTGATTTTGGATTGTCTGTGGGGCCCAGTTTGCAGTGTGGTGTCTGTTCTCATGGGCCCCTGGTGGGATCTTCATGGGAAATGGCCCGAAGGATCCAGATTTAAGCTGACCCAGACCAAACCTCCAGGCAAGACATTCTGCTCTAATATCCAGAAACTAAAAACCTTCTTGCTTTTCCTTCTCAAATGTCTCAAGAGAGCAAAATATGGATGAAAGCTTGAAGTAGCTAAAAATGGTTTTACCCCTTCATACGTGCAGTCTCTAGAAATGTGAGTCCCTTTCTTGGTATTTGTGGGACAACAGACTTAGTTCTGTTCTTATTTCACAATTGTACATGAAAAGCACATGCAGTTGGCACATATCATTTGTGTAAGAATGAGATACGGGCCATTTGGAAACTGTAACTTTGATTCATGACTCATGCAATCAATACCAGTGTAGGATCAAAGTAACGAATTAATTTGAATCTATTTTATGTTTGCAGACGTCCTTGAGGGCTATAATGGGACCATTTTTGCATACGGGCAGACTTCGTCAGGAAAAACCCATACCATGGAGGTAAGTTTGCACTCTCAGTGTCTGAAGTGGCTGTTGTTCTCAGTGAAGCTTCAGATTCATGGGACAGCAGAGATGGTTAGGTTGGGGAGTTTTAAAGTAGCAGTGAGTAGCCGGGCAGTGGTGGCTCATGCCTTTAATTTCAGCGCTTGGAAGGTGAATCTCTGTGAGTTCAAGGCCAGCCTGGCCTATAAAGTGAGTTCTAGGACAGCCAGGGTTACTGTGAGTTCTAGGACAGCCAGGGTTGTTACACAGAGAAACCCTGTCCTGAAATGAATGAATGAATGAAGTAGCAGTGAGTAATAAAGTTTCAAGAATTTAGTTTTCAAAAAGCCTTTGTTGATCTCTGCCCTACTGAAACAATAGATTTCTTGAAATAAATGTAGTCAGGGTATAGCTTAGTGGCAAAGAGCTTTCCTAGCTTGGAGGAAGCCCTGGATTAGATCCACAGCGCAACACACACACACACACACACACACACACACACACACACACACACACACACACTGCTACCACTGTCGTCAGTAGGTGATCAGTAGTGTGAATCCTTATGGATTGCAGTCCACCCTAACTGACGGGACCTATAGCAAAAGTTATTTGCCCTTTGGAGGGTCTCTAGTGAAGCCAGGCTCTTTACAATAAAACCCCAAAACCCCAAACCCAAACCCTGTAGGTCAGAGACTTAAAGAAGTTGGCTTTTAAACCAAATTTAGCCTACAGACTTACTTTTATCTGACTTGCATGATGTCTGCCTGTCTGTATGAATGTATAAATGTAATTGCTGGCAGTCTTTAAAAATGGGATGAGTTCACACAATTCTAATTTTTCACAACTCTGATTTTTCCATTTTCTTAACTGAACAATGAAGATTTTGTAGGGCTGGATGAGTTTTTTAGGATAGCAGAAACTACATTTTCCTAGTGGAGGAATCTTCATTGTCTTGTTCATCTTTGTGGTCTTTTTTATTCTTTGTTTTCGCTGCTTGGGCTCAAACCAGGGCCTTATGCATCCTAAGCAAATGCTTTGCCACTGAGCTATGCTCCTAGCCTTTGTCTGTCTTCTTATTAACATGTGTGTAGTTGTCACTGAGACGAGGCCACATAAAGTATTTGTTAAAACAGTACCAGTGTGGTGACTCTGTCCACCCCGTGTGGGTTCTCCAATAGGTCCCAGTACACTTTGCCCATAACCAGAGTGAATGTGAGCTGGTGTGCACCTTCTGGTGTGAACGGGTGTGCACCTTCTTCTGAAAGGTATACACCAGGCCTGTGCCAGCACCGGAAGGGATGACTCTCTCATGCTTTGTCTGCAGAGCTTGGTGGCTTCAGGTTGCCTTCCAGATGGGGACCTTTTCTTGCCTCCTTTCCTAGTTTTTACTTGGGACTCCTGAAGGCCTTTGGTGCTGGATAATTTATCCAAAGGTTACGCCTACCTGACAGGTGAGGAGAAGCAAAAATGGTTAGTTATTCCATGAAACAGCACTGAGCAAATTTGGAGAATTCAGCTTATAAGCAGCAGGCTAGGATGAATCCTTAATCCTTCAAGCTAAGGTTTTTTCATTTATGAATCCCTCCTGGGAAGAGCAGTGAGACGGCTGCTGCAGAATAGGTTTAGCTCATGAATCATTCCTATTGAAGAGGAGATTTCAAAGGCGTGGGGCTAAGAGCCTCAGCTCTGCTGTTCTGGGCACTGAATTGACTGTGGGCTGCGGTGCTGGGGGAATCTCGTTTCCGTGGTGTTGACTTTGTTTTGCCCGTTTTGCTGAAGACAAAGTGGTTTGGAGACTGTGTAAATTAAAGAAACACGAGGCTCACTTGCCTCATCAGGACTGTTGCCCAAACATGGGCTGCATTAGCCACTTGTCTCTCCCAGCGGTACATTCCAGAAGACTGGGCTTCCTGTCCACTCTCCACTTTGCCCCCTCAACCGTCTCTCTCTTAAGCGCCCCCAGGCCCTTGATCTTGCAGGCACTAGCAAAGTTTAATTGCATCCTACTTTCCCAGCCCCACTTTTTCTGAAGATGGAGGATAGAGGATGGAAGAAGGAGCGAACATGTTCTCAAGAGGGAATCCATCAATTTTTAGGTTTCTGGAAAATTAAAAGGTGTGTGTAACATGAGAGGAACATCCTTTACTATTTTAAATCTCCAGGCTACTAGGGAGTGCTTACAAGAGTGAATGCTAAGGTTTAGGAGTCATTTATCATTGAGAAATGTAAAGTATCTGCTAAATGTCAGGAACTTAAAAATTGTAGACATTAGGAAGACTCTGGAAGAAAGTGTCTGGGTGTAGGTGATGGGGAAGGGGTGTGCTGATCCCTCAGTGCTGGTGTGGGGACACTTTCTAAAATGAGATTGTCTGGAGCCTTTGGTGCCTTTGCAGTGTAAATCAACTCATCTGCCCTGAGCACACTCCTGGGGGACATGAGAGGAACTGGATTCCACACTGATCTCATCTAAGGTCCCCAAATGCTGTCACCTATGCATATTTGTCAGTTGTCATGGGTTACTTCTTTGTTGTGACTTCTGCCTGCAGCTGGAAGGAGTTGGCTGAACCTTTTCCCTGTCACTCAGCACCCATGCTGGATTCTGTTCTTTTGTGGGTGCTAGCAGACTGGAGGAAGGTTTGGGTCTGCTAAGAGGAGACCAGAGCAAAGGAGCTGTTGCAAGCTGCTGTCATAGATGGCAGGAAACAGCAATTCAGGACCCTGGAATGCAATTAAATAAGAATGCTCTGCAGGGTTTGTGTCTCCTGAAAGGAGGATTCTGTATATTCAGAATTCTACACAGGATCCTTCAAAGACATTCAGGAAGGATGTTAGTTCCCCGAGGGCCGGGCTGTCACATTTTAAAGCAGTTTTTTCTTTTAATAAGTATTTTAATCCCCCTATTTTGGGCCTGGCATCCAGTGGTGTTGCCTTTATCTTCTGTTAAAGAGAATAGCACATAATCCTCCATAAAATTGGAAAGATTAGCTTCTCATGATGTTGCATTTAAGGGGGATTCTCAGGTAAAATAGGACCCGCTGGATAATACTGGGCCTGAGGACAGTAGGTACCGTCATGCAAGGACCATGGACTTGTCAAGAGAATATGCAGGTCCATAGAGAGGATGGCGGGTGCTGGCTGTAGACAGGCAGAGGGTGGGAGTTGTCTCATTGCTTGGACCCTGTCTGATGCCTGAAAGAGCTGTTGATTGGTTCGTGTACTCAGTGGGCCTCTTAAGCATGCCTGGAGATGGCTGGGGATACCTTGTGATGTTTCTTCTGTTCAGAGGGACATCTGGAGGCTGTAGGAAACATACAGTCTTTCCGGCCATCTTGTAAACCGGCCTCACACACTGCAGTGGCGCTCACACCCTGCAGGTCTCTTGCTTTTCCTTCTGCAGTGTTTGAGGAAGCTGTGGATGTCATCGAGGCTACTGTCAGAGAACAAAGGGAGTCTTGTTGAGGGGCCAGTGGGCTGTGTTTTGTTTCTCCTCTATACCTGCTCCTAGAAGGCTATATTCAGCTGGAAAGGTTTCTGAAGACAGTCAGATAGAACACAGCTATTTGTCCTCTTTGCTCCCTTGGAGGAGTAACAGATAGCAGCTCACTTCTTTGTTCTGTGCCCCCATCCCCGAGCCAGACTACTCTTTGGCTGTCTTTGGCAGGGCATGTTTAGTCTCATTTCCTGCTTTTGCTGTGCCAGTCCACCCCTTCTTCCCACAGCCTCTGTTCAGCCCAGATTTCAATCATCCCATACAATCTTGGGGCCCCCAGGGAAGCCATCTCTACTACCCCAGCTGCAAGAGCCTTTATATTCACTGAATTCACCTCTGTTCTTAGTCTGGTGACCACGTTGTCCGTGCATGTGTGTTTCATCTGGAAGCAGTTAACTTGGAAACAGTAAGATCTTTAAATACACACACACACACACACACACACTCATACACACTCACATGCACACGGGCATTCCATGTATAGTATACATACATTTTCCATATATGTCACACAGAGGCATTTTATATTTATCACACACATAGAGTATGCACATAGACACAACACACTTATGCAGGGGCACTCCACATACCCATATATATGCCACACACACATTACATATTCACCACACAGAACATATATGTACAGACGTCCTTCATATCTATGCATCATAAACATATATATTATGCCCCCATATGTGTACATATACACATACATTATAGATCTCTCTTCACACTGCCACATAACAAACACATATCTCATGTACATCATACCTTCCCACATATCACACATATATCCCACATACACATACACACTCGCCATATAATATTTAATATTATATACATATACAATCCCTGCCCTGGGTTATTTTGGCAGGCTAATTTTAAGTCAGGGATCGATAAAAGATGATCTGTTGGGAGAGAACAATCTAGGAAAACACATTTGAGTCAGTTTTAATGACTTTTTAGACTACCAGTTATTCTTCTCTGGTTTGGACCACTGAGAAGAATCTAAAGGGTTATCATGGATTATTCAAGAGCCCGGGAGGTTTGGGTAGAAAAGACATTTGATTGACTGCATGAGGCAGTGAAATGTGACTGGAAGGAAATCTGCCTTTTAATCATAGGAATCTTTTTGGATGATACTCTCTGCAGTGCATAGTACATGGCCATGGTCGTTTCGCTTGTGTGCATGACAGACTATGTGATTTAAAAGTGATGAAGATCTGGAACCCAAGTCTCAGTTAGTTGGTGCTGCTTTCCTAAGATAACGTGCGGTAGTAGCCTGGAGTAGAACATTGTTTTAGGACTTCTGTCGTCAAGCCAGCTCACCCCAGCCTAGAGACAGCCTGTTGAGAGGTGCATGTTACAACGCTAACATTTATTGAGTCCTGTGCTGGTGAACACTGTATGTATTCTATTGAACTTAAACTCTGCTCTAATTTTATGCAGTAAGTACTTTGCTCAGTCTCCTGAGTGTTAGGCCAACCCTATTTTTAGTGTGTCTAGAACCAAACTAAAACACAATGGAAATACATTCTCTGATTTATTGTTCTTGATAGATAAGGGCAGCATGCCAGAATAGCCAGATAAGAGCGTAGCCAGGCATGTCTGAAGTTGCATCCCTTTTGCTTTTTAATAGAATAGAAAGTCAATAGTCCAGTGTGCTGGGAAATTACAACACCGAGTTCTTGGTAGCATGTCTTTAGTGCCTTTGTCCATTTGGATTCTTGATTTTGCAAACTCAAATGTTGACTTAGAAGTCCCTAAGGAGGGTTCTATATGATGCAGACCTGAAGGTAAGGGGATTAATTGAGGAAAACAAAGCTGGCCTCAAGGTATCTGGGTCTAATTTGTAAAGGTTGTTGGGCATCCCTGAGGACAGAGGAGAGAAAACTGGCTTTTGTGTTGTTCTCAGAGGTTTATAACCCAAAAAGTCTAAAATTCTCTTCAGGTATAGCATCACCACAGACCTGCAGGCTGTGTCCATGGACAGACAGGCTGTTTATTATGTGGGAGAGGACTTGAATATTCAAGAGAAGATTCTGTGGAGGCGTATACCTTAAGGTCACACCAAAGCCACGGTGGCTTTAAATCCTTCAGGATCCATTTAGTAGGAACTGTAGGCTGTTGTCTCTCCAACTCCCTCTCCCCGTTCCCTCCAATAGGCAGTGGTCCCAGAGTTTCCTATATCTCCAGCCATTGTGGCATCTTTTGAGAGTCTTCATAGGTGGAAAATGACTTAGTAATGCTCAAAGAGAGTATTTATCCCTCTACCTACTAGGTAGAATGAATAAAAGTAGTTAAAAAATTCAAACTGAGAATTATAGATTTCAAAAAGAAATCAATGGAATGGATTTTCTTGGCTGGTCTGCACAATGATCCTGAAGAAGATACTTTGAGAGTGAGGACTTTAGAAATTTTTGAACAATGATTAATTATCCATTCTCACAGTGCTTTTATTCAGGATTAGCTTACATGTCGGTTTGACGCAGTTGTCAATATTACAAGTTAAACTAAATCATGCTCCTTCCTTACCATCCTCCTTTTCATACTCTCACAGCTTGTGTGCATTCAGATTGGCAAGGGAGGGGAGAGGGTGGGCTGACACACACAGCCAGGACAGCCCTCTGCTGGACACAAAGGGGAACACATTGAATACTCAGGTAGATTCCCCAAGGAAGCCCGAGTGCGGCTGCTTCCTGTTTTGTGGGTTCTGCTTAAGAAGCCCTAAGTTGATTGGGGACTGATGGCTATTTCAAGCCCTCCCTACCCATCATTCTGGAAACTTCTGTTTGTTGTACAGGACCCAAGCAAAATATGACCCACAAAATCAACTTGGATTTTTGTGGATCAAACAACATTCTTCGAGAAAGGATGACTTCTGTTCCTCTCCCATGTATTTCCCAGCACTCCTTTGACTTCCCGTCTTTGTCTTTTTCACTCGTAGGGGAAGCTGCACGATCCTCAACTTATGGGCATTATACCGAGGATCGCACATGACATTTTTGATCACATCTATTCCATGGATGAGAACCTGGAGTTTCACATAAAGGTATGTGCTTTTAACTAAGAACAAGACAGGACTCTAGGTCCTACGTCACATTTCTCAGTCCTCCTCCTTTCAGATAAGATATAAAAGATGTTCTCTTTTCACTCAAGTGTCACTCTGTGGGAAGCAGGCCCTACCCATACTGTTAAGGATTCAGGTCAGTACCACGCTTTTGGAATGGTCTGCTTGCAATAGCAACATACAGAAAGCATAAGCCCCCTTCAGGATTAATAGCAACATACAGAAAGCATAAGCCCCCTTCAGGATTGAATCGTCTTACTCATTGCCAGGATTCTCCCCACTTCCTATTAGTTTCTAAGGATAGGCCAGGGGCGTGTCTGTGTACAGGTTGGGACACCATTCCCCAATATGAAGTCCATGGAAGCAATTGTGTTACCAGTAGAGGAGCCGCCAGAGGAAGGCATCATATGGCCAGAGGAACTCAGAAAATACTTTGCTGACCAGTGCTAAACTTGCTACATGCTGTCTTGAATAATATGACTCTTAAATGGAATGTTTACACCCCACTCCCCTGGAGAGTGACTTGCTGAGAAGTGTTGGAAGGGAATTCTCTTACCCTTCTTCCTCTTCCTCGTTATTATTTTATTTTAACACTGATCTCGCTTAAGTTAAATGAAAGGGAGACTTCTACTCTATTATTTTAGTCATTAAATCATAAAGACTAAAATTTGAATTTCTTTGTAAAATCCAGGAGGGCTACTTGTTCAAGCAGAGAGACGTGTCATAAGGTGGAGACTGTGGCTCCTGTGGGGAAGGCTGTGGAGATCAGGGAATTTCAACCCTGGCTTTTCTGTTCTTTTTAAAGTTAAAAAAAATGAGATGTAGTTCATATGGCATAAAAACAATTCTTTAAAAACATAATTTTATGGAGTTTACTATAGTACCCAAATTGTATAGTCATCGTCCTTATCTAAATGTTGAATATTTCCTCCACTCCTGAAACAAACCGTTTTCTATCCCTGCTTGTCAACACTTAGCTTGCCTCTTTCTCTGATTGCGGACTACCTCTGTTTGTCTGGGAGGGTCTTGGCAGCCCCTTGTTGAATGTTTCTAATTCTGCGTTCTACTGGGAAGACAATGTCTGGCCAACCTAGAGCAGCCCCTGCTCTGCTTCTGTGTTCCCAGATCCACACTGTCTGGTTCTTCATCTTTGTGACTGGAGGTGTTGAAGGGCAGGGAGGGGAGACACTGTTCTAAGAAGGCTTATCTTACAGATGAGTGGATCAGTGGTCCCTAAAGCTTGACCATCGGTACAGTGGGTTAGTCGTGAGGAAGCGGAGGCTCAGACACAGACCCTAGCACCAAACTGATACTTAGCAACCTTTTCATTGTTAGGCTTTTTCTGGGCTGGTAAGGTGGCTCAGTGAGTAAACGTATTTGCTGCCAAGCCTAATCTCTGAGTACCACATGCGGAAGAGGAGAATTGACTCCTACAAGTCATTCTCCACAGGCCCTTCCCACCCCCACAGAAAAGAAACAAATGCAGCAATCAAACATTTTCAACCTCTCCACTTATTTTGTTTTTCCACAACAGACTGCTCCTAAATTTACATCGCAAAAGGCCATTGCTGGCTGTATGCCCAATTATGAATTACATCCAGCACGTCACGTGTCCCTGTGCTGTGGAAGCTTGCTTCTTTCCCCTAGCAGGCTTCCTGATGTCTGAGGCCACGGAGCTTGTTGCTTTGATGGGCTCAAGATTTAGAGGCTTAGTGCTTCTTTAAGGCTGTTTACACTGACACACTTTAAACTACTGCAGAGGTCTTAAGTGATAATCCTGAGTAAGATGTTAAACCAATTACCACCCCGAACCAGTGCCTTGTGTCAGAATCTTATTACGATTAAGAACAGTGCTGGCTTGAAATGGTGGGGGAGGGGGAGAATATTTCCTCCGCCTCTAGTGGTTAAGTCTTACCGTGCAGATTCCCATTGCATTTCTCAGTTGAGTTTGCTTTCCTATTAGCTGTGTAGACTCCGCATTCTGAACTTAACCTGCTAACAGGCCAAAAGAGGCCCTATTTGGACAGTGTGGAAAATCTGCTTCTTAGTGTGTCCCACGAAGGTTTTGAATATTATTCCTCACCATGCTCTTGTTCACCACCATTCAGTGCCTATGGTGTTCCTTCTGCCTGGTCTCACAAAGCATTCAGAATAACAACAATGAATTTTGACACCTCACAAAAGCAGAGATTAATAAATCAGAATTCCATTTTAACTTGTATTAAATGTGAGCAGGAATTTAATTGCCAGTCTTAGCAGTACATGGTTCACGACTACCTTTTAGATATAATTAATTCTCTCTGTAATTTGTGGAAATGAAATTACATGTTTAGGGTGTATGATCAAAACGTGTTGTATGAATGTATGAAACATATTAAGTTAAAAAAAACCTCAGAGGTAGTGAGAAATCTTAATGGCAGTCAGCCGTGAACTGGATTAGGTTGACACCAGAATAGGGCTGACTGCAGAGAAGGCCTGGTTAGAAGTGACTATAATTGGACATGAGGACTGGACAATGGGGAATATGACAACTTGAAAGATTAGAGAGAACAGTTAGGGGTTGGCTTAGCTCAGTGGTAGAGAACCAGTCTTGCATGTGTAAGGCCCTGGGTTCAAGCCCCAAGGAAAACCTCTAGACAACCAGAATGAACTAACGCAAACAAAGAGAGGGAGCAGGGAGACTTCTGACTGCCAGGTAGGAGTTTACAGAAGAGATGGAATGAGGAGTTGGGCACATGAACAGGCAGGTGCTATTAGAGGTACAGGTATCCAGGAACAGATTCCACAACGCCCAGCTGCTGCTTGTAAATTTCAAAGCAAGGATCTCAAAGCTGCCGGGAACTAAGAAGTGGGTGGTTCCAGATGGTGGCACACAGAAGACAATGAGCCAGGGCTAAGCTGGGAAAGACATTAGTGTGATGGCTGAGGACTCTCCACATTCCAAAAATCAGTGGTAGGGGTTGTCCTGTCCTGATTTACCTGAGTAGGCAGAACCCGGCTTTCCAACAGTCATAATCATGGCTGACATATCCTAAGAAGTCTGTAAGATAATTTTATCATTCTGTATGCATCGTAGATAGCTTATGCTAAACAGGGTGCCTATGATATCACTGGACAGTATGATCTTATGGGACTGCTACCACATTATGTGGTCTCTAATGTTATTATGTAGCCCACGTTTATATTTTTGTTCTGTTCATTCTCATACTCATATTTCAAAGATGCTTATGAGTTTGTGGGAAAGTTTATCTGGGAGGAAAGAGTCAGATACAGTGTGCAAAATCCTGGAGAGAATTTTTCACATCTTAGAGACTAATGGCTTCATTTGCCAATGAGGAAATTGAGGCTATCTGTACATCAAATTCCTCAGAACTCATTCTTAGTTCAAGCATTTCATTACTTCTGCTATTGGATGAGTCACCTGGGAATTTAGCAGCCGATTTCTGGGATCTAGTGTCTGAGACTGTGCTCCGGTATCATTGTGGTAGTCTTCAGGGCTTTGTGGTTCTTTAGCACGTGTTGGTATAAGTGGGGCTGGGCTGAGGCTTGAGAATCATTATTTAGAAGGCTTCCTTTTCCTAACAAAGTCTGATCATCTTTTGTTTGTCTTTTGTTTTTTTGAAAGAGTGTTACTCTGTAGTCCTGGCTGGTCTTAGATTCATGACAATCCTCTTGCTCGGCTCTCTGATCTGGGATTAGAGGCATGAGCACCACACCAGGCCAGTCGTCTTCATTAAACCACATTTGTTCCAGTCCATCAAAGACTCCAGCCCTGGCTACCTCCAATAATACTCTCCCAGGTGTCTTCCTGAGCCCCTGTAACCCCAAGCCTCCATAGCTTCCCCTTGCTTCCTTCATGTTAATGTGTAAGCTGTGTTCCCATGGATCTGATGAAGCTGTGGCATCATGCAGTCAGGCTTGGTCTATATGAACCCCACTGGTTTAGGATGCTTTCTCTTTTGGCTGTTACCACACATGGGCATTTACCTGGTGGGTCCTCTTCTAAGAGTCCGTCTAGCACCCAGAGGAGCCGAAAGCGTGGAGCTCCTGAGTGGCCCATGCTTGACTGACGCATAGTCACACTGACCAAGCTGGAGGGTCACATGAGAGTCACAGCTCTGTGCTCAGGACCTGGTGTCCCCTTTCTCAGCCACAGCAAAAGCTTTTATGAGGTCAGTAGTGACGTTTTTTGAATGTGCTGTGGTATTTCTATTCCAATTTCAATTTCTCTTTAACTAGGTTTCCTATTTTGAGATCTACTTGGACAAAATAAGGGACTTGCTTGACGGTAAGTTGCACCTGAGTGTGGCTGTGTGTGGCTCTGTAACTGAAGCCCAGGGGCATTGAGATGAGTTAGGGCACTTCTGCCTGGGCAGCTGATGCAAATGTAGAGAGATGTTTGCCTTCGGGCTGTGTGCTCTTCCCAGTCACAGCTTAAACTTGCAAATTATGGAAGGGTCAGACTTGCCCATCTTCTTTAAGCATTGCTATTCTTCTTGCATTACAGGGTTTTAACTTCCCTTTTCTTCTTTGCATGCCATCATTTTTGTCATTACAGTGTCCAAGACCAACTTAGCTGTTCACGAAGATAAAAACAGAGTCCCCTATGTAAAGGTATGAGGGTGGTTGGGGGTGATGCCACTAACTTCTCCCTAGTCACTGCCCACATAATTGTCACTTGAGAGCTTATAAAGAGTATCTAAAAGGCATTGCTAACCCTGAGCCTTCTCTATAATATTGATCTGCTGCTGCTGCTGCAAAAAAAAAAATCAGTGTTTAGTTTCTTCAGCTGTAGCTTTCCTGCATGTAAATGATTTTATTACACACACACACACACATACACACACACACACACACACACAGTGTTCCATGTATAAGCTATGAGCTACCATACCAGCCTTCTTTAGGAAAGCTATCATTTAATATTGCTACTTAGTATTGTTTATTTTAAAGAGATTTGGGGATTGAAAGCAATGGCTTATTCTTCGTACCTCGCAGAAGTCTATTGTAGCATCATGCGTACTCTGTTGATGACCGAAATGGTTTAAATACTGATGGGAGGTGAGGAAGTACATTCTTATTTCTTCTCCTCTTAGGGATTTCCTCCTTGTATTGTCTGCCTCCTGAAATTACTGCCACAGGGTATGAACATGATCTTAAAAAGCATTTCCTCCAGCTTTACACCTAGTTTTCCCAGGGCTAGCTCATACTTCTCTTTAATGCAGAATCCAAGCCCCAGGCAAGGCGGAAGCACAGTGGGCCAGCATCACACCCTTTCTGTTTACCTGTACCGTTAGGAAAAAAAAAAGAAGCGGCTCTAAAATGCCGTTGTTTCTCAGTTGTTGGAGTGGCCAACCTTGCTTGCTTTTGACTCTTGCAGGGGTGCACCGAGAGGTTCGTGTCCAGCCCCGAGGAGGTCATGGATGTGATAGACGAGGGCAAAGCAAACCGACATGTGGCTGTGACAAGTAAGTGCTGTGGTGATGTCTGTGCTGTCACATGGGATCCTAATACCTGCCCTCCGTGCCGGATGGCGGGGTGACGGGGCACGTGTGATTGTGCATGGGAAGGCAGCAGAGAGCGGTGAGCAGACAGACCCTGGCCCGTGTGCAGTGTGAGTGTATGCAGGAGTCCGAAGTCTTGAAGTGTCGGGTGAGATGACCTTGGGGTCTGATAGCAGGTTATAAAAGAAAATCTGAGCTAGTAAGTTCATGTCAAACACAAGGAAAAAACCACTTCCTCTGCAGAAGGAGAGTGTATGCAGAGAGGAGTCAGAGCTGGCAGCTTCCAAGAGATCCCTCCAGCATACACTTACTGTGGACACACACCCAGAAGCTAGGGTGCCAGGCAGTGGCTGCACCTGAGTCACCTGTCTGTATTACGTGTGTATTGGAGCGGCAGAGGCTCTTTAAAGAGACTAGGGCTGTCCTTTCCAGAGGGATGTGAACAAAGCAGAATCAGTTCACACAGAGCCGAAGGAACCAAGAATTTCTAGTTTGGAGGAGAAAGAGGATGTGTTGTAGGCAGTGCAGTGTCCTCCTGGGTTCTGATGCTGAGGCAAGGGAGGCAGGCACTCCCTGACAGTTGCCCCAGGTGAGCCTGCCACCAAAGAAGGGAGCTGGGCCACTGTACAGAAGAGATTCAAGCACTGGCAGAGGACTGATCTAGACTTTTCCAGCAGCTGGTCTCAGGCTCCCCCATGGATGGGCTCCAGGTCTGTGACCCAGCCTCTTCTCTGCCCCAGAACAGAAACTCTCTTAGCCTCTTCTCTGCCCCATAGCTTATCAGATGATGCTCATGGATGTGGCGGTTTTCAGAGCTGACTCAGACTTGCCTCCAGTTTAGGAAAACATTGATTCTGACCTGCCTGAAACTTGCATGTACATGCCACAACTTTCTCACTGTGCTTCTTAAGCTGTCAGTCATGAATTATACACGGTGTCCCAGAGTCGGCGACCAGCTTCACAGCTGGGGGTCTACAGTGTCTCTAGTGTTGTTATCATTCTGTCAAGGACTTCCCCACATCATTTATTTGTGAGTGTGCGTGCGCTCATGCGTGCCTGTGTGTGGAAGTTAGAAGACAACTTGAGGGAGTGGGTTCTCCCCAACATGGGGGCCCTGGAAATGAACTCAGACGTCGGGCTTGACAGCAAAGCATCTTTTCCCATTGAGCCGTCTCACCAGCTTTGTGTCTATTTTAGCGTGGTAAGTATAGCTAACTGTGCTCCGTTGTTGAGTGTATTTGCATTGTGGGCAACATCCCACCCTCAGTCTCCACCCTCTCATCTTCCCGAGCTGAGACTTGAACTCAGGTTCTCACCCCTTTGCAGCAGGAGCTTTGCTAACTGTACACGGCTCCTGTTTTAATTTTCTAGATCAGCTTGACTATTCACGATGTTTTGAGATTCTGTATGAATTAAAAAATTTTTTAGGATAGAGTCTTCTATTTCTGTAGAAAGTATCATTGAGATTTTGCTACAGTTGTATTGCATAGATTATTTTGGCTAATATTTAGATCTGTTTTTTGTGTGTTTGCATGTTTAGTGTGTGTAAGCAGGATAACATGTGGGTAGGTCCATGTGCATGGTGTGTGTGTGTGTATGCCTGAAGTTAATGTTGGATATCTCTTTCGCTTATCCTAACATTTTATTTTTCTTGAGGCAACCTCTCTCACTGACACAGAACTTACCAGTTGAGGACTCTTTGTGTTTAACGTGAGTTATGGAGGTGTGTCTTAATCTTCCTGTAAGTAAGTTTATGATAGTTCCAGTAACCCCAGGAACTCTGTCAGACACTACAGTGTGATAAAGTTGGAGAGTTTCCACAGGACAGTCAAGGAAGCTGTGAGATTCTCTGTGGGTGAGGCTAGAGTAGAATATGGGACCCAGGGCTTCTGGAATGTCACCTTAAACTGCTTAACAAGAATGCTAGGTTAATTCCTTTGTTCCTTGAAAACATTGTAAATCTATCATCTCTAGAATGAGTGGGTTTTTTTTCCTCTTTTATTCTTTTTGAAAGAAGAAACAGTGGCCTGGAATACATTCTAAAGTTAGCTGTACTGCCTGCAGAGAGCTGTCACAGTGTGACGTGACTGGTTGTCCTTTAAAGACCAGAGGTTTGCTACCTTGGCTCTCTGTAGAGCAGTAAACCATGTTTCATTTCAGACATGAATGAACACAGCTCGAGGAGTCACAGTATCTTCCTGATTAACATTAAGCAAGAGAATGTGGAGACTGAAAAAAAACTCAGCGGGAAGCTGTATTTGGTTGACTTGGCTGGGAGTGAAAAGGTAACCGGTTCATAGTTACATTGTCTATAATTTCCCCGTTATGTGCTCAAGTGTGCAGTGGTATAATTGTTGTGCTTTTGCTCCCTGATTTTAAAGAGGTTTAAAAATGTTGAGGTACAGTACTGTCGAGTTTCTTGGTTTTCTCATTTTCGTTCCTGGTCTGAAAGTTCCCTGTGTGTCATGTTCCTTTATGTTTAGTAGGGCCTATGGCATTAAGCAGGGTTAGTATGGCTTAGCCTGGCAAGGCAGCCGCACAAGGTAGCTACACAGCCTCCTCTTAGGATGGGGGAGCCATCTGTTGTATGGACTCCAGTGCACTAGGAAAGGCCCTGCCACTGGGCCATGGTGGCCCTGCTTCTGCAGCTTTGCCTTGCTGAGGAAAGGTCTGGAACCTTGGCCCTCCTAGTGTTCCAGTTCTACTGCTAGTGGGTCTGAAGTGACCGTCTCATATGAGTGACATTATTTCCTGTGGGTTAAGAAACTTTCTTTGGTTTTGTTGTGACCCTCTTTACACACTGTACTCCATTCTATGCCCCCAGGAACTGGCTAAGACCACATCCAGAATCTCCACCTTCCGGCCCCCCAGCCCTCTCCACAGCACCAGGGATGCTCCCATGTCCACACTCAGCAGGACACAACCCCTTTAGACAGCATCATAGAGCAGTGCACACGCACAATGCCTCTTCCTGCATTCACCAGTGACATCAGCTGGATGTCCTCATTAGTCTCCCTAGCTGTACAGGTGATTCCCACTTATTGCCACCTACGGCCTTACATTGCTAAGTTCCTGAAACCTAACTATGGCTACGGACATCCACGTAAGTCATGGCTGCTCGAATAGCCCTCTTACTTGCCTTTGTCCCAGGGAAAACCATCGGATATTCCTGGCTGCCATCTTAAATGTTTCATGTGTGAGCTGGCCACATTCTCAATCACTCATCAGGATGAAGGGGCAATCATTCATTCAGCTCTAGCCTGACCACTAACTGGACTGCCAAGCCCAGTACAGGCCCATGCAGAGAGCCATGTGGAAATGAGTTATTTAGGACTGAAATACCCCCTGAAAACTGCCTCTTGCTGGCAGTCGGCACTTCTTGCTAATGGTACTTACGACATATTTCAAGTGTCCCTCCTGTGGTTCGTTTGTTCCTGTCTGTTTTCCTTTCCCCTAAATGAATCCTTGTGAATGAGCTCTATTGAGAACAGAGCTCTGGCTTCAGCTCCCATCACCCCAAAGGGCCATCCTTCCCTTAGGCTGGTAGAGTGACATCTCTGGAACTCATTGTCCTTGCCTGCCAATGGAAGGTGATGGACAGCTCCTTCTCTGAATATCTCATGGAGTTAAGATGCCCGAGTTAGAGACCATCTAAAAACTCCTACATCTCTCCATGATGTTTCCGTCTGCAAGCAAGCTGCCACGCCCCCAGTTCCAGGACAGAAGTCTGTCCTATTTTCAGAACACCCCCCAGAAACATTCCCCTTTGTAGTTGAGGGGGCTTGCCTTCATATGTATTTGAAGTCCATCTTTGTTCAATTTAAAGTTATTTCTCCTCTTTCCTTTTTTAAGAGAGCAGCTGTTCACCCTGTAGCTTTTGCTTAGGCAGCCAGGACAAACCTTACCAAGTCCCCTCTCCTTAAAACAAAAACTGGCAGCGTTTGTAAACCTCCATACCTAGAGTAAATGTTGTAAATGTGAAATTATCTGTACCAATGCAGTAGAGGAGGCACTGTGTGTGGAGGACTGCAGAAGAAAACCAAATTGACAGTGTAACACACATATCCGTGTCTTTGCATGTAACACACATATCCGTGTCTTTGCATGTAACACACATATCCGTGTCTTTGCATGTAACACACATATCCGTGTCTTTGCATGTAACACACATATCCGTGTCTTTGCATGTAACACACATATCCGTGTCTTTGCATGTAACACACATATCCGTGTCTTTGCATGTAACACACATATCCGTGTCTTTACATGTAACACACATATCCGTGTCTTTGCATGTAACACACATATCCGTGTCTTTGCATGTAACACACATATCTGTGTCTTTGCATGTAACACACATATCCGTGTCTTTGCATGTAACACACATATCCGTGTCTTTGCATGTAACACACATATCCGTGTCTTTGCATGTAACACACATATCCGTGTCTTTGCATGTAACACACATATCGTGTCTTTGCATGTAACACACATATCGTGTCTTTGCATGTAACACACATATCCATGTCTTTACATGTCTCCCTATGTGTTTTGCATTTTAGATACCCTCCTTCCCTTTCTTAGTTCCCCACTCCCTCCCTCCTTGCTCGGGAAATAAGTAGAGAAGGAATAGTTTGAACACCTATTTCTTTAGTCGTTTGCCTAAAATTGGGGCTCGGAAGTGTTTTCCTCACTGTGCCCCAATGGACCCCCATCCGGCCAGGAGGCTGTGGTTCAGTCCCCCAAGACTCAGCTCTGTGTGGCGACAGCACTTCAGGAGACTGGTTTTCCTCGATGGCTGTCCCCGGGGAGTATCTATAGTTTTCCCACTTGGGGTATTGCAGCCATCCCACTAAAACCCAATTGAGAGGAAAATGACAACAGGGGAGACCAAACTGTCAGCTCCGGGCTCCAGGGACAGCTGGATCGTTGCTGTTCTCCTCAGTTCACTCCGTGCCTCCCGGGAGGGTCTGCCTGCTGCCGCCCCTCCGCCAGTCTGCAATTTCTGCTTCCTCCTGCCCCTGCCCTCACTGCCTTTTCTGTCCTCGGGTAGGTCAGCAAAACTGGTGCCGAGGGAGCTGTTCTTGATGAAGCTAAAAATATCAACAAGTCTTTGTCTGCTCTTGGAAATGTGATCTCTGCCTTGGCAGAAGGGACAGTAAGTAATCCTGCCGCCATCTATTAAATAGTATTATGGGAAACTGCCTTTGGGGCTTGTGTGTTCTCTTTGCCACAGACATTTATTTGCTTTCCTCTTTGGAAGAGAGCAGAGGGATTCCTGGCTGGGGCGCTTGTTGCTGGGAGATCTACTCCGCTAGAAATTGTGAATGGTGATGCTGACTTCCAATGATATGGGTCACAGAATGGACATTGTTTGGCAAGATCCAAAGACCTGGCTGCAAATTCTTATTCCACATGCTTCCAAGTTTGGCTTGCTTGCTTTCTGTAGTTTTTCTTTGAATGAGCTGTCAAAACCGATACCCCTTCTTTTCTTAAATAGAAAACACATGTGCCGTACCGGGACAGCAAGATGACTCGGATTCTCCAGGACTCTCTGGGTGGGAACTGTAGAACCACAATTGTCATTTGCTGTTCTCCTTCCGTCTTCAATGAAGCTGAGACCAAGTCCACGCTGATGTTTGGACAGAGGTGCGTGTGTGGGGTCTAGGAACCCATGCTCTGAGATAGGTCATTCGTCTTAGGTGTGAATGGCTTCAGACAATGGTCAGAGGGGTAAATAATTATTACATTGCATCTAGCGAATGACCTGTAAACTTGAGGCATTGTTTACTGAGGCCACTGGGATTATGTTTTCAGTAGTGGTCAGGAATGTGCCTGCTGGAAGAATGATGCTGAACAAAACAAAACAAAACAAAACAAAGCACCTAACTTGTTGGTACAATAGCTTTTGTTCTTTATGGACTGGAAACAGCCTTTAGCTGCATACAGTTTCGCGTACGTAAATCTGGAGATTTAGCTCTGGAATCTGGGATCTGTTGCAAGGTGTTCATGAGAGCAATCAGGAACTCAGATAAAGGCAGAGTAGAGGCGTGGATAACAGAGGAAAGGATCAGATGCGTTAACTCCAAGGGTGGGAGGCATGGGGTGTTTTTGGAGGAGAAGGGTAGACCACTTCTCACTGTTTGAAAGGCTCGGGTGAACTGCGGATTGTAGCAGGTGGGCGGGCATGAAGGGCTTGGTAATGAAATCAATCTTTCCCTGTGTGGACGGGCTCTCAGCCTTCCTTGCCTTTCTTAACACACTCCTCCTCACCCACGTTGCCCTGCTGCCCACAGCCAACCTCTTTCAGTCTTGTTTGCTTAGTTTGCCAGCCCGTATCTTTTCACCTGTGTTTTTTTTGGAGGGCTGGTTACCTAAGCCTGTGATGCTGAGGTTTTTGATGATGTATCTTTGGTGCACACGGGGCTGAGCTGGGACAGATGTTGTGAGATGAGGATCCTCCTACCATTGTTACATTGAACGTTGCCAGCTGACGAGCTGTGTCTGTGGCCCTTATTGCCTTGGGTGTCAGTGGGGTTCCCAGTGCTCCCCCGCTTTAGTCCTGGGAGTATGTGTTGTATGGTTATGCCCAAGAAGTAGTTTCAGATGGGGCAGATGGGGTGGGCATTCTCTATGGGAAATTGTTACAATGTGTTGGAACTGCGTCACATCCTAGTCACAGCCTCAATAGACCATAGGATTATTCAGCTGTCTAAATAATTGTGTTGAAATGTTGTAGAACTAATCTATCTTTTGAACAAGATTTGGGTCCTTTGCTTCCTCCTACGTGACTTCCTTGATTAGGCTAAAGCTTGAGGCAGTGGCATTATAGTATGGTGACACATTTGTTTCCTGGCCATTTGAGCCATTCTCTCTTTGACTTCTCTGAGCTTCACATCTCTTTGCCATAGAGATGGAGTGGTTTCTTCCAGAGACTTCTGGAAGGATGATCGAGCTGTTTGCATTTCCCCCTTGCCCAAGGGCTGGTGCAGAGGGGACTACCACTGATTTCAAGCTCACCTTCTTCTACCATAAACTCTGCAGTAGTATTGAGGGTTGGAAAGGTCATAGTAGTAGATAAGACTAGTCTACAAATAAGTAACAACATTGTAATATAAGGGACAGGTTTGAATGAAATAGGATTTCACTTATGGAACTAATTGGTAAAGAAATACTATAGGTAATTTAGGGTTCTGGGAAATAAAATGTAACTTCAAATATGTTTCCAGATGAAATAGTTGGTCTGCTTCTTTTATCAGGAGAGCAGAGAGTACATTTGCTATTGGCATGTTTTCCAGTATGGGAAGTATACAGTAGGTGATTAATAAGTACATGCTTATCGAACAAGGAAGCAAGGCAGCCTCAAGTTCATGGTGCGGGATCCATGCTGAGCTATGGCATCACTGTTCCTAGAAATCAACCTGGGTTTGAATCTAGTTTGCCTTCTTTCTAGTTAATAGTCAGAAATATGTGATAGTTCGTTCCTTATTTCTCTACCCACATATTAATTGGCCCTTTAAGGATAGTGGATTTTTCTATAAACCTTCTATCTGCTTTATTAACTATACCCATTGAACCAAATTACACAGCAGAAATGGGTCTGAACATCAGGTTAGACATGGAAATCTAATCGGCTGAACTCAAAAAGGCTGTCGGGTGTGTCCCAAGTGCCAGATAGCCAGCGTTCATTTTGTTCTTGTTGCAGAGCCTGAGTAGCGTAAATTCTATGATTTGCTCAAGGACTTAAGGGAAGAAAATGTTTTTCCTGGGCTGAATAAACAACACCATGTGCTTTGAAATTGTAGAAGGGCAGCAGGGTCTACAGGTGCCTAAGGGCAACCCTGCTGAGAGCCCAGCCAGCCTTCCTTACGATCCTAGGTTTAGTACTGGATTCAGACAAAAATATCCAGGCTGTCTAGGTCTTATTTGATCAAGCTTGTCCCTTCAGCACTCTGCCAGCACAGAGGTGGACAAGTCTTTGTATCAGAGAGCGGCAGGTAGTCCACACATCTGACAATCTAAACGCCAAATTAAGGCATTTTCGTGGATATTTTTCTTTTGTTTCTAGACTCCGGAATTTTATTCTTTACTTTTTAATTACTCTTACATAGTACTTTCCTAGCGCTTTTCACAAAAGATATTTGTAACTTTCGGAAGTGTGAACTCAAGTCACCCCATTACCTTGGAGGTCTGTTTAATGTGTCTTGATTTGGTTGGGGGGAGGGGTGAAGGAAAGAGGGCCCTGAGGATCACACCAGTCAGTGCAAGAAGGCCTGAGTCAGCGTGCCTTGGGCCAGCGCGAACCCTTTAGCCTATTTGTGTGTTGCATGTGAAAGGGGACTGATAACGTGAGAAGGGTAATAGTCTTTGTGTTCCTGGTGAGCACTGCTCGCAAAAGGACACCATGCCATCGTTTTAATTAAGCCACCTGCCATAGTGACAGCTGGATTCAGCAGAGACTGAATGGTGTACATGTAAAATTCATGTCACAAGTATGTGTGAGCAAATACCTGTGGAGACCAAGCGAGCAGGGTAGTTAAGGCACACACTTTGGTGCACTTGACGTAAAACCACGAATTAATTCACCTCTGATGGTGGACCTGTTACTGGGACTGGGAGGAAGGGATGCTGTGTGGTCTAAGTTTAACGAGAGGCCAGCTCATCACTGGTTGTCAGGATTTTAATTCCTCCTCACTGACTAGTCCCTTCTCTCAGAATAGGGAGCCCTTTCCAGGCCTGAAAAGTTCTAGCATCCTCAGCTCTTTAACATGGCCACAGTGCTTAGAAGAGATGCTGTAGATAGCCAGGGCCCTCAGGGCCCTCTTTCCTTCGCCCCTCCCCCCAACCAAATCATTGCAAGGGAGTGTAAGCAGAAGAGATCAGTGAGGAAATAGGCAAGGGTGGGGCTTGCCAGGGTGTAGAGTGAGCCCAGCCTCTGACTGGCAGTCTTCTCTGAAACATGAGGGCTCTTTTCAAGTGCACACAATGGGATGCCTTCAGTGTCAGGTGTTCGTGCCCAGCCTCAGCTGTTGAAGCTGACGTGTGTAGTCCTCTCAGAACCTGAACGTGTATTTCTTGGTGTGTAAACTGGACACTCAGGCATGGAGGGCCTGCGGGGCGCTGGGAAGGTGATGGATGATGGGCTGTCTTCTTAGCATTCCACGGAGACTTTTTAAAGAGAATCTTTCCTAATACAATCATCTCAGTGTTTGTATCCAAGTGAATGTGTGCTGTGGCCTCTGATTACTGTTGGCTGCACTTGGAACTGTCTTCCCTGAGGCGATAGCCTTAAGGACCTTTAAAATAAAACTTGGCCTCATTCCTCCCTGAGGAGAAGAGATCTGATACCCAGGCAAACCCAGATGACATGTTACGGAAGTGGTATTTGAATCTCTGCAGCCAGAGGACACGAGGAAAGCTGTGAACAGATTCCATTGATGTCCACGCAGTGGGTTTTGTTGTGTCAAGTGGATCTTCTAGGGAAGAAGCAAGATTAAACATGGATTCTTCCCGCAAGGAGCCGTTGGTCAGGATTTTGCTCAGTGTTGGCTGGGGTTCCAGCTGTAAATAGGCAAATGTGTCAGCACACACTAGGGTCAATCACAGGCTGTCACAGTTTGAGTAGTGGATAGCTAGAATACAGCTCTCGAAGGTCACTGGCTTGTTCCCCTGTACCATAGAGACAGTGTCCCCACCCTATCTGGCTGGACTTTGCTGCCCTTACCACGCTGTTTGCAGAACAACAAACTGTCACGTGAGACTATATCACCCTAGTGATGTCTAATCCATCTTAGTTGTATAAACAGACTCTGTGTTGTTGGCACAGTGCTTCCTGATGCATTTCTGAATAAACCCCCCTTTTAAGCAATGTATGACTATTAGGCTTCAGACAAAATTGTAAAACTGGCCTTCAGGTTCTTCCTTGGTGTCTGCCGTCTTACTGATTTCGTGTGTGGTTGTGAACTAACTGAAGTTCTTTTGGAAGCTAAGCTGAGCAATAAAGGCATGTATCTGGTTCTATGCCAGACTGAACAAGGCCACAAGAGGAGAGGTGGGGGGGTTGGCAAGAGAGAACAAGAAGGGAGAGAGAAGAGGAGAGAGGACAAGTGGGCCAAGGAGTTGCTAAAGACCAAGACTGTGGGCTGAGATGGCAGGCTTATCCAGGAAAGAAGCTGGGGGAGGGACGGGAAGGCCTTGAGATGGAAACATTAAGTAGGGGTGGGTTGAGAAGCGCTGGGAGGAAGCCACAGGTACTGAGTGAGCCTTGTCAAGGGTTTCTTGGGGACTTGACATAAAGTGTACAAGGCAAAACCATTTTGCATTGGCCAGCTACTGAGCATGGGGCCTGCCCTGGAGTGTGGTTGATATACCCAGTGACACTCCATTGGAGAAACTGACTTCCTCTTCTTAGCGGGCATCAATAGCCTCTTGGTTAGGGGTGGGGCTTTGTACATACCTCCTCTTTCCTCTGTGTTGAGACTTTATTGGGTCTCAACCCATGCAGGTCTTGTGTGTGCTGTCATAGCTCTGTGAGTTCATATGTGTATCAACCCAGTTGTATCCGGAAGACTCTCTTTATTGGGTGCTTTGTTTTTGTTTTGTTTTTAGCATATGTATATATATTGAGTTTATTTTGATTTTTCTTTTGA